TATATATATATATATATATATATATATATATATATATATATAAACACAAGAAACTTGAGCATACAAATAATAATATATGAGTCATGAATTTACCAAATCGATTTTAAAAAATTTCACTGAAAACATAAGAAACATGCAAAAGACAACTCGAATGAAAACACAAAACTTAGAAGGATGATTAGGAATTTACCTTTCTTAGGAAGGAGGGAGAGTCATAGGAGATCCCTAGTGAAAGCCTCAAAAGGGTTGTCTCTTTGTTTTTGTCCTTTCGATTTCATTACAACACAGTCAACAAGAGAGAGTTTGCCTTTTCGTTTTGCTAAGTTTTATATTTGCCGATAACATAAAGAGAGGGACTACACGAGAGGAACCTATCCAGGTTACTGATAACGTTAATTTATTAACCTTATTTCCATCACTTTTCTTATCTTTTTTACTTTGTTTTAGTTTATGTTATTGAGTCTTTTTGTTCTTTATTTTACTTTTTACTACTTCTTAGAGTTTGGTATAAGAATTGGTTTGACATAAGTTTTATGCATTAAATTGATCAAAATCACTAAGGGGCTGTTTACCTAAACGCTTACTCACTAAGGGGCTGTTTACCTAAACGCTTACTCGCTAAGTGCTTACTGTTAGGAGTCAACACTATAATTTATTTTTACTGAATAAGATTGTACTACATCAAAACGTATCATATGCAACAATTTACCTGGTAAACACTTACCCGAGTAAGAGGTGTCACTCTCACTTACCGGGTAAGATTTTCCATCTTTATCATCATTTTTACCGGGTAAGATTCTTGGCCCTTGTCATGTTCATCCCAGATAACAGGAAACTAACCGCTTCGGAGAAATCCTAGTTGAGAAAAATTACATAGTAAGTACTTATCGGATAAACGTTTAGTAAACAAGCCCTAAGTTTATGCTATTCCTATAGGTCCCTGTAAAATGTCTTTCGTGAGGAATCCTACAGGATGGGATGGAAGGGTCGGACTCACTTTTTGGGCTAACTTTTGGGCCCATTTTTGTTAACTCTTGTGGGGTTGGACATGCTTTTGGGCTTGAAAGCTTGGGCAGATTTAAAAGACTAATGTTGGGCTCATTTTTGGGCCCATTTTTTGTTAACTCTTTTAATTATTTTTGGGCTCATTTTTATTTGTTTTGGGCCCTAAGCTCACTTTTGCTACTATAAATATGTAACTTATGCTTTAAACATAACCACGACAATAATTCACTTCACATTTCTAGTTTAGGGGTTGAATTCAGACAACTTTTTGCAAGTATTCTCTCTTTAGTTCTCTCTCTATTATCGGGTTTTTAGCTTCCATTTTCGGTTCTATTATAAGGCCGAAAGTTTGCAATTTGCTTTCGTTATTTGTCTTTTCTGTATTTACGATTACTTGAAATATTTGTTTTGTTATTTGACTTTTAGAGAAAGCATTGATCGTGGCATTACAGTGAAATTTATTTCTATTTGTGGCATGTGGTTATTATCTAAAATGTCGAGATATGAGTTTTTCAAGGAAACCATACAAGTGCTTTAAGTTTGTAACGAAACTTTTTACGTAATTTTTTTAGTTACTTTTGTTATTTTTAGAGCTTTACATTTCTTGCTTTAATTCATTGTCTACATTTCAGTCCTTTAAATTATTGTCATTTACGTTCAAGTCTTTTATTTATGCAATTTACTTTTCACACTTTATTTATTGTTATTTACATTCCCTCGCTATTTATTTTTCGTAAATTATTTGATAATTAATTATTTGCGCAATCAAGTTTCCTTTTCTAGACTTTAGCACTTGCAATTTGTTTTATGCATTTATCATCTCCGTTATTCACATTAAAATCTTTATATCTTTTATAAAAAGAATCCTAGTGATAATATGCTGACAACTTTAGCGATAATATGCCGATAACTTTAGCTTAGTTCGATCTCAACCACAAATCAATAGATAAATTAGGAAATTTATAATTTTAGTAATTTTAAATTAAAATTTTAATGCAAGGACATTTTAGGGATTTTTTTCTATCGTCTCTTCTCTCTCCGTCCCCCGTCCCCCGGCCACCATCCTGCGGTGATACCACAATGGTTTCACAATTCATCTTATATGTGCTTGAATATCACACTGAGGTCGTTTGTGTGATCGATCGGAGATGTAACACAGTGATATACAATGCATCTTATATGTGCTTGGGTATCACATTGTGTCATTTTGTTTAACAAAGTCAATATTTTTAGATATCACAGTAGTATCACCGAAGGATGGTGGCCGGAGAACGGTGGAGGACGGAGAGAGAAAAGAGGAGAGAGAAGAGAAAATACCTAAAATGTCTTTGCATTAAAATTTTAATTCAAAATTGCTAAAATTAAATTTTCCTAATTTATCTATTGATTTGTGGTTAAGATTGGATTTCACGATTAACACAAACTAGTTCGTTCTCCCTTACATGAGGCCACACACACACACACACACATATATATATAGAGGAGTGATCATATGAAAACCGTCCTCATTTGTATAAACCGTGCAACCACCTTCATCTGTCGATTT